CAGCATGGTCCCCGGTTGCTTTAGCTTCAGCCGCAGCCGCATCCGCAGCAACGGCTACAGCTGCAGCATCAACTACGGTAGCCTCCAGTCCAGCAATAGGGACAACCAACTCAACGCTTCGTCTCGCCGTCACAGACCTATCTCTCTCTATGGCTGCAGCTGCCACCGCCAACAATGGCGTCGCCATGGCTGCAACTGCTCGTAGACGTCCTGCCGATTTGCTGGATGGTCAGATTCCTACGCTGATCAACTGGCCAGAAGTTGGCCCATCGAAATCCGCTTTTCGGTCACCAGATACTGACGATACCAAGAGTCTGGGATGCTCCAGTCTCCCTGGAACTGCCGCAAGTCATAGTAGATTTACTCCCAGCAGTGATACTAGAAGTGTGAGAACAGCAGGTCTTCTAGGCGTTCAGGCGTCCGAACTAGTTTATTCTGGATTACTGTGTCAAACGAGCCATCCTGAAGAAACAGAACACTTGGATCAAATCACACCGACCTACACAAGAGGCTTTTCCTTGCAAAGCCAGAGCCAGGCTTATCCCGCACTACAGCCGGCTCAATATCCGAGCCTGCCATCATCGCATGCCCACTTGCTAGGTCAGCAACACATGCACCAGCAAGGTCCAAATTATCTACAGCATCAGCGGACACAAAATCATCAGAATCCACATTCCCAACTGCTGCCTGGGTCAAAGAGGCTACACTTATCCTCCATGTGTGCCCCCAGTTTTGAGGGAAAAGTCGAGTCGAACTTCGTCGCATCTAGGCCTGGCGAGGAAGGATGTAAGAGGTTGGGTTGTGCAGAAATGGACAGACTTGGACAAGGGCGGTTGCCTCCCGGTGAGGTTTCTCGCATCAGTAATCAGTTTGGGCAGTATTACTTGCGTTATCTGAAGCACCACTCTGCCAGAGCAAGCCCTCTAACCGTAAGTAAATATAACTTAAATTTCCTTTCAAAGTATAAGGCGAGGTAGCAAATAATGATACAGGATCCTTCGTGTTATATAATAAATAATATCTTAAGTTATGATTCATTAAAATCGAGGGTACAAAGACTAAGATGGTCTAGCCTTTCGTATAAACGCGGTTTCCTTTTCTTGTTATAATAGTTGTTCGACCTTGTTTTCGCAACTTCGTCAAATTGGCAGAAAGACCTAGAGAAACGCATCTTGTTCGGAAGTCATAGTATGCATGATAATTTTCAAAGTCGGATCGTA